TACATAAGCAAACATAACCTAAATGACATTTTATATACTAAAAAGTTTATCTGTGCGTTATGATAAGCTATACGGTGGTACAAATAGTTTGTGTCTCCTTAATACACAATAGCGTGTTTGGTACGGAACAAAAATTTGTTTACTAAAAAAACACTGTGTACTTACGGTAACCGGACCAGGAACAGCAGTGAATGCAACATTCTGGTTGTACTCGCAAGAGCCGCCCTCACGTTAACACACTGTCTATTCTTCGTCCCTCAATTGGTGTTATCGCTCCCAAGATTGACTATTAGGTGTTTACGTCTGCGACAAGTTAGCAAACAAGTTTTGAGATAATGAAAAGAATACCACGTCAAGAGGTCGATTTTGGGACTCGAGTAATCACGGAGACTAAATTAACACGTTACTCAATCGTGATTAATTAGCTTGAAATTAATTTCCGTAAAACGATTAGAATTGCTACATTTTGAAATTCAACTTTTATCACAGTAATTGCAAAATATTTGAAATCTTTCATGACTGTGGTTGAATATTTGTTTTGATAATTATTTTCATTATTGCGATCGATATTTTGAGTTGATATACCAGTTAAGAATTTAGGGTGTGTTTGCTTTTGGGGAATTTATTTTTAATTCTATAGATGTTTTAGTTAGTTGTCTATGTTACACAATCTATTTGGTCAGTCTCACAAATGCGGGACTTTTGCAGAGATGGTTCTGTTTCAAATCCAATCACAATCAAACTTCACATCACCTGTTCAAACACAAAAAACCAATGATCTGATAACCTCGTAGATTCAAAATACCTTAAATCGAACAGCCGAAAATATTTGTCTTAAATTATAAAGCAGTATTCTACAGTTCATTTGTAGGCCTATTGATCCAAATAATTATAGTTTTACAAAATTCAATGATGTTAAATATTTAATTAATACCGATTATGACAAATGTATGAATGGAACGTAATTTATTGTTTAACGTTGTATTAAAATAGTTTTTGTGATAATTTAAAATACGTTAATTATGTAAACTTCTACGTCGAGAACATTGTTATTCGGAATAATTGGAATGTACTATTACAGAAAATGACAAATTTATCTGAACTATTCTCCAGGAACATTGGAATTCGCACACTCAAACGTCACCAAACATTATACAAGCTTGACATTTTCGAATAGGACGAGAGGTATACTTACACACTGTTCCAAATTTATTTACATCAATTGTTAATGTTTTCTACACACATCCAGTTGTTAATCGTTTAAAATTTTGTCAAACATTCAAATTATATTTTAGCATGAAAAACGTTGTTGCTTATTATAACTACTCTAACAACAACAGTTGTTTGCAACTTTTCAATCATCAAGCAGGTCGTTACTCAATTGGTAGCTTAAAAATAAAGTTTGCGCAAAGCGAGAGGCAAAGGTTGAATGGCTTCATGATTGGACTGGCTCGAGCAAAGAAAATCTTGAAAGGTTTCATGTTGTTCGAACAAGCTATGTTTATTTAACGCTCTTTTGTGATGGAATCGTATCACATTGTTTAAAACTGAATTCTACGTTCCACAAGCACTAAAACTTCGCAAATTTGACTAACAGTCTACTATAGGATCAATTAGATTTATTTATTGAAATGTGTGGTCATCATATGGGAGAGGAAATACAAGTGAATGTCTTTGCAAAACTACAAACATTAATCTACACCAAATTAGACCACTCTCCTTGATCATTGATACCATGGTTATAGGTAAAATAAAAACAGGAGTCGGAAGCGTTTATGTACTAAGGTCCGCCACAATTGTCACCTTAAATTGAGACATGTAATGTATATAACAATTTATTCTGAATCTGTAAAACATTTGTAAAAAAAAATACCAACGAGACTGAGAAACATCAAATAAAGAAATAAACAATTAGCAAGAATTGAAAAATCGATTTTTAATCTGGCAACATTAAGTTAAGTGCTTGTTAAATATCTACCAAATAGTTGATTAGGAAGGCTGCCTTTAAAACTTTGTCGAAATATAATTTATGGCTACATCAGTGTCTACATTAGGTGACAATTTTCTAAAAAAAAAAACTCAAAATAAAGAAGGGAAGAATAATATTTCTTTGAGGTTTGTAGCTCTTGACGAGGGCTGCAAAAGTAGAACGGAATTTGTCTTGATCCCAAAAATGCTTTGTTACCATAGGTATAAAAACCTCCCCTATTAGAGGCGGAACCTTCCTTTATGCAGTAAGGTGAAATAGAGGGAATGGTGGTGCTTTTTGTCGAAACCCATCCTACTAATACTAGTTCAGGGAAGAGATAAATTCAAAAACTTTCATAACAATTAAATTTCCTTGGTTGTTGAGTACAAAATCATTCACTTAACTACTTGCAATCTGATCCTCTAGGGGTAAATAATTTTTCTATATTATAATCCAATGTATCAATAATTACAACTGAAAAAAATACAGTATTAACGCAAATATGTCATTATGTAAAAACCGAGACTGTATGAAGACAGACAAGACAACACATACGATTCCGATGTTTTCCAGTTATGTTTATCTGGACTATGAACTTCAGAGGAATATTTGGACTTGAACGAGATATCATAGAAGCAACGACCGGAGTGTTTGCTGTTCTTTTTGTGTTGTACGTCAGGTAGTGTTGTATTGTGCAATGCTGTGTTAATATACATATGATGAGTTTAATTTGGAAATATAATTTGAAAAATCCTATTGTTACTGCATTAGGTATATGTTGATGATTTAATGTGTAAGTGAATAGTCGTAGGTACCTAATCCTAACAGTCAAAATTAAGACCATTAGGTGTAAACTTTGATAAGGGCTTCATTTTAAAATAAAAAAGGTTTTACCCAAACAAAATGTATGGTATTCATGTTGACGGCCAAAATGTTAAACGGGTTTTTCCCATTTTTGGGTCGAAGAAAAATTAACACCGAGAAAAAATGCAATAAGTACGAAAACGAAAATTGCTGTGCGTGGTGAAACCTATGTCGCTTGGTTGTAAACATAAACATATGTACAATGTAAGTACTCCAGCATGCTCCAGCATACCTCTCTCTTCTCTAGATTATTATTGATTATAGTCTCGAAATTTTTGGGAGAGAGTAATCTTTGGGTTTTATAGTATGATTATTTGCAAACATCAAATAGTCGTAAAAGTTAGCTTACTTGAACGTAACAGTTCAAGTTACATGGTTTAATGAATATATTACGAATTAAGGAGTGGATGAAATAATAACAAATTGTACAGTATATGCTATCGTTTTTACATAAGATATTTTTTGTAGTCACGTTTTACATCACTGTATAAAAATAGTTGGTTGAATTGTTTTCTATTAATTATATAAACACAACACAATTATAAAGACACGGGTGTCTAACAATGTTGATGGTAAATATATTTTTTATAAAGATAGTACTAAAAAGTTTTAGTTTTGTAAACAATTTCAAGAAAACGTATTTTTTCCTGATATGACAAAGTTGACATACGAAATTACAATTAGTGGGGTTAGTAGCTGATGGAGTGGCTATTATGATGTTTAAAATAATTAAAGAATTATAACTAACATTACCTTATAAAAAAGAAGAGAAACCCCGTCATGATAGAGGGGGTTGAAGGGGGGATGCATCACATGGAAAAACAGGGGATACTGAATGAGGTTGGCGGGATTGTGGGCGGCAGTGTTGCCTCGCACAGAATTAAAATTCCCCCACAGTACCTGTTATGTGTGCAGGAACAGTTATCATTCAATCGTGATATACATTAGTATCATTGTTTAAGGATGGATATAATACTCTAGAATATTAGTGAACTTTTCAAAACGTAAAAAATTCCATTGGTGTAAAAAACACACAAAACCACCTAAAAACATCCGGACTAATATTTACATATTAAAATTGTAACATTGCAATAATTCTGCAATATCATAGAGGAAGGAATTTATTAATAAAAAATATTGAATAATTATAACAGCTACAACACTGATTAATTTTAATGTTTGTATAAATTATTTATCATTTAGTTAATGAACCTCTGAATTTATCCCTAAAATAATTATAAAAAAGGAACTGCCCAAATCATATTGATTCCAAAAGTTAACAAATATGTTGATTTATGATTTATAGTAACTATGTAGGAAAATATAATGCGTAACACGAGTGCAAACTACCTTTGCTCGCTTACTAGTTACACAAATAACTATTTATTACTATGTTTAGATCATAGGGCGGAACTTTGGTCATCTTCGTCGTATTCTTAGATTAAACCATAGATAAAACGATAAACATACTCCCTTAGTAGATTTCTCATCCTTATGGAACAGCTGAAGACAATTTTATTGTTAGTTCTGTACGGTTTATGTAGAGGTCGTGTTTTTTTTACAATTTGTTTCCCGTTATTACAGCCATTTAAAACCTCGTTTAACCAAATAATACGATCTAATCATAAACAATAACCTGTCCCCTAGTTATATAACCAAACAGTAAAGCACAAATCAAGAAATTAACCCTAAAATAATAGAAACAAAGTTTCGTCGACACTAGCGCCCATGTGTCACGTACATGAACTAGACACGAAAAACGTGCTTCAAAATTTACAATGGGATGAGAAGTCTACCATTAAACCTACTTCCTTTTATCAAGCACAAAAGTATCGATTAGTTTGATAACTAAGCTTAGCCTGGCTGGAAACAAAACTTTCTATTACATTACAGTAATCAATAATACGATGGAGCCGGAGGGATATCATGGTTTTGTCGATTTATCAGCCAAAGTCAGTGGTTAGACTTAAATCACTGACTTAAATAAATATCCAACAGAACTATGACCAATGGTCTAGGCAAAATTTAGTTTATTTTTTGTGGTCTTTGCGGATTTTGTCGCACAGCTGTTGAGCAGAGCATGGGCTGATTATAGCTCAGTGGCTGTCACTGTCAGTTGTCAGATCTTCAATCTTCGGCTGTTGTTGTTAGGTTAGGTAGATGGTAGATCCATGTTATGAGCAATGTTTGTTTAGGTTAAAACTACACAACTAAACTGCAACTGCATTAACAAAAACCATATTGATACACATTGCGTGTGTTATACTATTACTGTCAGTAGAAAACCGTATATATTTCTTATAATATTTAAATATATAATTTATATTATCGTCGAAAAATTTGGGAGAGAATGGATTCCACTCGTAAGTTGATTACGAAATAAGTTATACCTCTAAAATATGACAGGCTTAGATAAAATATTGGGTACAGTTTCTTAACTGGACTATGCTAATATTGATTGAAACTATCGATTCGATTGGTAAGTTAAACCTTCATGCGATTCTTTCACCATCAGTAAGTTTGGTTGGTTAGGTTAGGTTATGATAGTTTTATTTTATAATAGATAAAATATAATGTAATTTTATATTTTTATAGTATTATTTAAAATATTGATGATTAATCTATATTTTCAATTCGATAGTTTCAATCAATATTAGCATTGGCCAGTTAAGAAACTGTAGCCTACCCAAAATATTTTTAGAAGATACTAATTTCACATTGTTTGTATGAGTTATAAGGGAGTCCATAACCAAAAACATATTGAATTCATTAATTGTTAAAGTGTGGTGTCTGCATGTTCTAAAAGTACTTTGATGTAAGCTTAACATGGGTCTCATATGTACATGAATTGAACCTGTGTGTTGTACATGTTGACCAATCTCTAATCTGATATGTAGGGCTATACTTGTCAGTACGATTTGTATGTCAACTCAACCATGTCACTGTCAGCCTACTGGGACGAGTGCCACTAAAGCTTGAATGCAACACTTTTGTTTGCAGGTGTGGATTCAAACAATTTATTAAGCATTAGAATGTTTACTAGGCCTACATAAAATGTATAGATAGCATGGTATCCTTTCTAAAGTGACGATATTAAGCCTCGTTTTCACCAGAGTTAGGAACACGTGTTTACAGCTAACTTAATGTTCCTTAAACCAAGAAACACTATGTTTTGAAGAGAAAAATGTTGATGTTGGAACCTGTTTTTTTGTGTACAGAAATTTGGTTTCCCACCAGAAGTCTGTAAAGATCAAAAGGTGTTCCAAACATGAGGAATCATTTGTTTTGGAACAAATATTTCTGTAAACTCACTTCAACGCTGTTTAAAACACTACCTCGCTACCTCCTACGCTTACCCAACACCACTTGACTAAAACGCGTTACACCCCCCAACCAGGACTGACCTCCTTTTCTCGGGAACGGTGATAAAATTGTTTCCAACAAAATCAAAGAAAAGTGCACTACCTGATGTAAACTTTTGTTTTAGAAACAAGTGTTACCAACAAAAAGTTTCAGACATTTTGTTCCAAACTCCGGTGTAATCACGGCTTTAAAGTTGTCTTACTTTAGGTTAACGAGTAACTTCAGGTTAAATTATTACATTAGAGCCTTATACCTTTTATGTTGTAGAAGTCGAAGATTTTTTCTCAAACATCATGAAAACAGAGCAAGAAACTTCTGCTGGAATAGCTGCAATCAGGACTTTGTTGGAGTATTTAAAGCATGATGAATGTAAGTTTTGAATTAGGCCTACTCGTAAGCTATCCATCACAGTATTTTAAGAAGGTAGTAAAAGTAGTAAGAACCAAGCAGTGCTGTTTCAGAAAATACTTAGACAGTACAAAATGACTGATTTGCTATTAAGGTTTCATATCACTGAAATACATAATGACTTATTTATGCTGCATCAACATTTTCTTCGATTGTACAGTAACTTAATTGTAACCTAATGAATTACAGTTAAAACATGAACAAACCTTTACAGCCTTCTTAAAGCAAACTTTAACAAACATAATTGTGTGCAAGTCTACTTTAGTTTTTCGAGAGCTTTACTGAGACTTAGCTTAAATACTTTTGACTTTAAAATATGAAGTAGGCCTATCTCAATTCAGTAGATTAGCCAACCATACGTGTAAAACAGGTCTTGGTACAAATTTGATGTGTTTTAACTTAATAAAGTAGGCATATATGATATTTACAGTAGTACCTAACACAGAATTCTGGAATATGATATCCAACCTTACCATAGACAAATAGAATACATATAGACTGTCAAACAAAGGTTCCGCTACCCACCGCTAGGAGTATCATTGCAGGAGCCTTATGCTACCAGCAGACGCTGCAGCGGTGTGCGCCGTAACTACACGACTCCTAGTGGTGGGCACCGCAACATATGCTAACCGCAGCACTGCTGTCAGTCTACATTTATTCAATTTGTCTATGATCTTGCACACAATTTCACATGTGATGTTATTAATAACCTTTTTGAAGCAGTAAAAATAACATTGATTTTCTTGAATCGAGTTTTTGAACGATCACTCAAAATAAATCTCTCGCTTTTTGTACAATCAGCAAGTATTTTTACTCTTTAAACAATGCTGGCCTAAATAATTTAAGCCAGTGTTTTATTTCAGCAAAAACAGTTGTTGAACTTCGAGAGAATCTCAGATCTGTCATTGATGTTATGACCAACACAGACTACCCTACAACTGCAGTCGTCTCTGGCTCGGAACTCTTCTTACGATTCATCACTCTGGCAGCTGGTCTTGATAAAGGGGTATGATATTATAACTGTAGCAATATACTGGGTAGGTAGTTTGTTGTAGCCTATAAAATCTTAGTTGGTCATTATTAATATTTATTTTCAAATAAATTTAAGATAAACAAATAGCCTACATTCTTTCTTGAACGTAGGTAAACACCTCCATACAAATGCGTTACCTACTAGTCTAAAATGGCAATATAAATAATTTCAAAATATACTACCTACCTATCCAAACCGTTGTGATTATATTATGGTTACAGAAGAGTCTCGTATTACTTTACGGTACGTATACCGGCCTGTCAAGATCAGGTAGGCCTAGAAGCGAAAGAAATGGATGAAAACCCGCATTTCATAGCACTGTATTCTGGCTGGCGAGGGACCTTAGATTGTTTTGCTATAGATTTAACAGTCTCTTGTCAGAATAATCTAACTAATAACATTAACTTCATGTTGTGTTGTTTATTCCGAATCACGTTGACATTTATAAAGGTAATTTTTTTGTAAAATGACCCACGCTCATTTTTTTATAACAATAACGTTGGCCAAACAAAAGCCCAAATTTAGTTAACTAGGGTAATAATTAAACGTTACTTCTAGGTTGCAGCAGATGTCATGTATAACTTTTAGAAGGTTTTGTTTCGTTACACTTTTATAGATAGTCGTATTAGTTAACCTAATTTGTTTACTTGGTTTGTTTTAGTCGTTTGAGGAGTGTAAAGAAATTATGATCAAGAGAGGCAGAGTGTTTCTTCAGAAGCTGATGTGTTCTCGAGGCAGGGTTGCTAAGCTGGCTGCTGCTTTTATCACAGACGGAACAGTGAGTATCTAGATACTGTAGTTTGAAATAAACCTTTGTTTCATAAAAGACCCATAAGAACATAGGAGCTTCTCTATAAGAGGAAGCTTTCCTGGAATTTAGAGATCGTCATTCTAAAATCCGATGTTGCTCATAATGGTAAAATCACCCCGTTGCACTCCTTTGATTATTTAGTAACTTAATTTAGTCCATTTAATCACTACTCCCTTATTTTATGAACTCAAAGCAAAATTAGGAAAAACTAGTCAGTAAGGATAACTAGCAAACACTATAAAATTGCTTGATTTGACAAAGAATGAACCCATATCTAGTTAACTTCCACCCGAGCTGTCCATTATTTAGCTTAGGTGAGCCTCCCCCACCAATCTTTGCTCAATACAAGTTACTCTAGTGTTTATATCAGTCTTCGGAGCTCAAAGGGTTAAATGGTTAAACGTAGAGCCTCCTGTCCAAACAGCGTTCTGACCCTTAAGTGTCCAGAGAGATACCTGGATACCTTAGCGCCCACTGAGTTGGTATGGTCGTCACGGCATTTTTTAGAGGCACTGGATCGGGCACTATGCCATTCAGGCGTTCCGCACTGTCCTCCATGCGCCTTTCTCCAACACAGAAGTTCAAGAGAAGATGGATGTGGATGAGGAAATTGCAGCAGTGTGTGAGGTGTTTATGTCGGGTAGGGCACCTATCGTAAACTTACCTCCGATTTGCTCGGACAGCTCGAGTAGTCCAGGGTCTCGCTGACAGTCCTCGTCGCTCGCTTACCACTTCTAGATCTTCGTAGATGTTAATGTCGCGCCGATCTGCTAGTACACAAGTACACACTGTGTACCTCGGCACGTCGACGCACCGTACACGAGTTGCTATTAAGGAATACACTAACTTTAGTTACTCCTATAACTTGGTGTCAGCACAGCGACGCGCTGACAAGGCCAAGTCTAAGCTAACTACTAGGGCTGATAGCTAACTAGGCGAAGATTAGAAAATAAAATAAACGAGAGGTCGTCCAGTGGTCGAAACTCGACCAAAAATATGTAATGTACTCACTTAACTATTTTCACCCCACACTGTAAATAAAACATGTGATTGGAGTTTCCTCCATTTGTTTTGATTTTCTGTTTATATTTCGTTGTTATTTCGTAACCAGCATAGCAACGCATAAGATCCATGTTATTTTTTTACAACTTTTAAACTTATTTTTTGTGCTTATCTTTGAGCCTATTTAAATTTATAAAGGGATTCTGCACACCTACAGGAAAATAGCTTTCCAACGGTATGCGTAGATTTTCCCTACGATGCACACGAGCTGAGAAAAAAGGTTTTAAAGAAACATGCTTGCCTATTAATATATAGATAGATACCCAGCTCCTAGGCTTAACAAAAGGTCTCACTTCTCAAAATGAAACTAAAAAATAATCTTCTCGGAATTAAAAGAAAACGACACTAACTTGCGATAAGTAAATAATGAAATAAAACAAAACGTATAAGGCACCTAGGCCAATTATTCTTCTTGGCTTTAAGGAAAATAAATAAAACTCTTGATTAAAATAAAACAAAACGCTTTGGGGTACTAAAAGTAGGCGTAGGCTACTGCGACACTACACTCGCAGCGTTGGTCGATAAACTACGTTATTCTATAATAAACTACGATAAACGTCCTAGAATAGCCTAATAAATAAAGTAATTTCCCTCGCCAAAGTGGATACGGGGATGAATACAACGTATACGCTAGCTATATACAGTGTACTTACGTAACACGACACTTCCAGATTTGCATCCGGGTTACTCTCGCCTTCGTCCGGATACCTTATTATTTGGTTCGCTCGCACGGCCTAAGGAGGGTTGGTTGGTGTGCGCGAACCTAACGCTCGACGCCGACTGTCTGCTCGAAGGATGTTTGGCGAACAAGCGCTCGCCATCGACTGTCCCAAGAACTGACCACTGTCCGCTGGTCTCGGCTTCTCCCCACGTCTACGGCAGCGCTTCAAGGTGACAGCGGCTGAGTCTCGAACTAGGAGACCTGCAGTGGACACGTTTGACATTGTTGCCGTCGTGACGAACCGCCGCGATTAATCGTTCGTGTATATAATAAAAAATTACCCCTAACAAAATGTGACCATTACACCCCCTTTTTACTTTGGTGAGAAAAAAAAACGAACAAAAAAAAAAACTACCTGCCTGCAGGTGTCAACTCAAACATAATTCGTCGTATCGCGTGCAAGGCGACAACCTTCGCACCCCGCACGGCGCTCGACCTTCGCTTGGTCGAGTAACCTAACTCGTCCGACTCGTGGGCGGGGAGAACACTCTCCTCCTGCCTCCTTAACGAAACCAAACACCTCTCGAAAATAAATCTAACAAAATAGCTTCTTCCTAAGCGATAAACAATAAAACTAGATTAGAACTCTGACCTACTTATCATCTGAATGGAAAGGTTTCAGGTCCTTTACATGGGCCACGGTGGTTTTACCCGTTGCCACGTCCTTTATCACGTACAAATTATAACCTCGCCTTTTGCTCACTACAAAAGGGCCATCGAATTTTGGCGCGAGTTTGCTCGCGATCGCGTTGACAGCTGACGACAGTACATGGGTCCGCTTTAAAACCTGTTGACCTATTTCATATCGAACGTCACGCCTTCGTAGATTATAAGATCTAGCCTGTTGATCAAACGCAGCTTTAAGATTCTTCTGAGTGGTGTCATACAGCCTCCGGAAACGGTCCATACGTTCCCTATGTATGTCAGCCGGCGTCGGCTGTTCACCTCTCCGACTCGCGACGAACAGCGGGCCTCGAAGTGCCTTAGGGAGCCTAAGTTCACGCCCGTAACACAACATCGCGGGGGTACACTTTGTCGACTCGTGGCACGCTGTGTTTACGGCGAACACGATCTCCTTCAGATTCGCGTCCCACGTTTGGTGATCGCCTTTCACGGACTGAGCGATAAGAGTCTTAAGAACGCGGTTACGTCGCTCGATGGGATTAGATTGCGGGCTAAAGGGCGCAGTCGTCTGAAACTCGATGTCCCGTTCCTTTGTCATATCTTTAATTATTTTCGAGGTAAACTGAGTACCGTTGTCCGTGATAAGTATATCAGGCGCGCCAAATCGATACAAGACGAGTTCCTTGAACTTAAGCACCACCTGAGACGCAGTCGCGTCCTTCAAAGGGGCTAGTTCAGTCCACTTACTGTATTGGTCCTGAAATGCGACGACAAAGCGATTTCCTTTCTTCGAACGCGGGAGGGGACCTAATAGATCCGCGGAGACAGTATGCCACGGCCCACCAGGTGGGCGAAAATGCATTTGGCCGGCGGGTTTCGTCTGTTCAACCTTGTAACGTTGACATACGGGACAGTTCCTTACATACTTGCGCACGTCACGTCTCCAACCGGGCCAGTAGTACTGTTCGCTTACTTTTCTAGCGGTATTCTTAACGCCAAAATGTCCAGCCGCAGGGGAGTCGTGCACCTCTCTCAAAACCACAGCCCGTTCGTCCTTAGGAACACACATTTTCCATGTCTGTTCCCGGCCATCTCCTTCCGTAGTTTGCCGACCAATCGAGCGATATAATTTGCCTTCCCGAATGACATATTTGTCGTTCATCCCGGGATTGACGCTCATTTTATCCCAGAGTTTCTCGTACCACTTGTCCGACTGATTACTCGGCCTTTCGGGACCGTCTCCAGCGTCGGGACCTCCTTCCAATTGAAGTGGACAGACCGCTGTCTCAATAGACGTATGCTCGGCTACACCTACGGGGTGCCGCGATAACGCATCCGCCACCCGGTTGGCGATGCCTTTCCTGTACTGCACCTCGAAATCGTGCTGCTGGAGTTCTAACACCCAGCGTGCTAACCGGCCTGTCGGCTCCTTAAGCCGTAGCAACCATTTCAACGCTATATGGTCTGTGACGGCGATGAAGTGGTACCCCTCAATATAGGGTCGGAACTTCCTCACGGCCCACACCAACGCCAAACACTCCTTCTCTGTCACGGTAAATTTACGTTCTGAGTCAGAGAGAAGTCTACTCGCATAGCCGATCACGTTCTCCTTTCCGTCCTTCTTCTGTGTGAGCGCGGCACCGAGCCCGTCGTCCGACGCATCAACTTGCAGTACGAACGGCTTACCGAAATCGGGACAAGCTAATATCGGTGTCGTGGTCAACTTCCGTTTCAGCCCGAGGAACGCCTCCTCTTGGCTTTCAGTCCAGCTCCATTTCGTCGATTTCTTTAGGAGACACGTCAGTGGAGTAGTAAGTCGCGCGAACTGGTCTATAAAGCGTCGATACCATGACGCGAGTCCTAGGAAGCTTCTAAGGCTCTTTACGTTAGTTGGACGCGGAAATTCGGCGATTGCTTTAACCTTTTCCGGGTCTGTACCAATACCGTTCGCATTAACGACGTGGCCGAGATACTTCAGTTCGGTCCTACAGAACTGGCACTTCTCAACATTGAGCTTTAGCCCCGCCTTTCTGAGTCTACCCAGCACTTCGCATAACAAATCGAGATGTTCCTCGAAGGTTTCAGAGATCATCACGAGGTCATCCAGGTACGCGAACGCCCTAGGCTCCAATTCCGGACCGACTACCTTATCCAGCAACCTTTGAAAGGTCGCGCCAGCCGAATGAAGACCGAATGGCATCGATGTGAACTGATACAGCCCGCGCCCCGGAACCGTAAAGGCAGTGAGAGGCCGGCTCGCCGCCGCCAACGGCACTTGCCAATATCCATTAGCCAAGTCGAGTGTGGAAATAAATCGTGCCTTTCGCAACTTTTCAAGTATGGCCGATATTCTTGGGAGGGGGTAAGCATCCTTCTCTGAACAATCATTCAGACGTCGAAAGTCTATACAGAACCGATATTTTCCACTAGGTTTCTTAATAAGCACCACAGGGGAACTCCATCCACTAGTAGATGCTTCGATTACCCCGTCACTTAGCATACGATCCACTTCAGCGTTTATCACTTCCTGCATAGCGGGATTTCGCGGGTAATACCGCTGCTTGATCGGAGTAACTCCTTTCTTTAAACGGATTTCGTGTTGGATCAGTTCCGTGCGGCCAGAAACGCTTTCAAATAAAGGCAATTCGGGCTTTAGAAATTCACCTAATCGTTTCTTTTGGCCCTCAGTCAAGTCCGATATTGCGCTTAATTCGACAATCTCGCCGGCGACGTTCGTCCTACTAGTATCTAACGCGACGTTATACGTCACCAAGTCCAGTCGTCCGAGAGTGTCGATACCGAGAACCACGTCACTAGTGAGAGTGGGGAGATACAATGTATAGAACTCCTCGTCGCGACCTTGAATCGAACCCTTAAAACGATAGGATTTTTCCGATTTCGAACAGCTACCGTTCGCGAGTCTCACTACCGTGGGAGTCGAAACAGACATAATTCCAGACCGTTCCAAGTGACGTGCAACCGCCGTGCCGATCAACGTGACTACGGCACCTGTATCTATTAGTGCGGCGAACTCTCGCCCTGCTATCGTCACTGATACGTGCGGTCGTCTGTCGTTGGTCTGAATCTGAGCGTTCTCGGTTTCCGGGAATTTCTTAATTTTCTCTAACCAAGCGCACCAGTCCGGGGAGGTCTTCGTAGTAGGCACTACTGAGGATTCAGGCGACCTCCTTCTTCCTGAACCCGTCGATCGTTTCCCTGGCACCGACAGTCGTGGGTGCGGATGCCCACCTTTTTACAATAGAAACACTTAAGAGTTCTCGGCATACGGCAGTCACGAAATTTGTGGCCTTTCTTGTCACAGTTCCAACATGTGATAGTAGACTTGTCACGCACATTATCGGGCAATCGCGAAACTGTATTGTTCTCTCGGGGTGAACCTTCGCGCTCACGCTCCGAGTGACGTCGTGGGCTCGTAGATGACGAGGTCCTCGTAAAATTACCCGTCCGGGGGTTCGGAGATCTCTCTCGTGACCTACGTGGTCTTGCCTCTGACCGGAAGCCTACGCGCTTCTCGGTTAATCGTCCCGTCACGCCGTTGGATGACTGACACTTGCCAATAGTCGAAACTCCGAAATTATCTCCCGATTTATTATCGCGTCCTCGTCTCGGGTGATAAGCCGTTTCGGGGACCAACGCTGCCGACGGAGGTGGAGGGGGACGGAAAAGAGATTTTTCCCTAAAATAGCTCTCAACGTGTTCCGCTTGTCTGAGCATTTCGTCGACCGAGAAAAAATCGTGTCTCCTCATCGTCAACTTATATTCGGGTCTCATATTCGTATACAAAATATTCAATTGTTCGTGGAGACTGAGGGTTCCCTTGCGTCGCATGAGAGTAGTTAAAGCCACAACAAAGTTTCTAAAAGCTTCGTTGTCACCTTGAGTCCGACGCCGAATTTCTTCGTCTAGATTTCGCTGGTATCCCAGTGGTAGGAATTGTAGTTCGAAACTCGATCTAAATGACTCATAATTATGCCAGGAGTCCTTATAGTTTCGATACCACAACAGTGCATTACTATGTAGTAGCTCGGGGAGTGCTCGTATAATATCGTTCTTATTTATTTCGTAGGCCTCCATAAGCTCTTCCAGGCGTTCCAAGAAAGAAACGGGGTCTTTAGAGCCGTCAATACGAACGTTCCATTTTCGAACTAAATTACACAACGCCGAGACGTCAACGCCAACCTTACGAATTACGTTCGAATTTTCGTGACACGAAGGCAAACCACTACTGAATCCGTGATTCACGCTTGCCTGTGTAGGAATACCTAGTTGTTCGCTCGCGAACCCACCGTACGGTCGCTGACCGGTACCGGGCACCGTAGTTCGATGAATCGAATCTGTAGAGTGGGAGGTGTCGAAAGCATAGTTAACACTAGGTCTGGTTAGTGTACTATACACTAACCCCTCGGAATTTGTAAAACGATTTGATTGTGTCATATTGACTGGATAATTACTAGCCTGATTGTTGGCCTGATTGTTATCAGCGCGCATTGTTAGGCTTGATAACGAACGACAAACGTCCTCAAAGTTGGTTCCTGGAGGCAAACCAACTATCCCCCGTACTCTGTCAAGTTCCGCACTTCGTATGTCACTGGCACCTGGTCGCGAGTCGACATATCCCGTGTCGTACCGGTGTGGAAGTGCAGTCGCACCGTCCACGCTATCATTCACGTCCTTACCGTACACTGCTCGGGGAATGCCATGTTTCCAAAATTTACAAAACGACTTGCGAAGTTCGTCGACTGTCCCCATATTAGGCAAACCGTATCGACTCATTTCGTAACGAAGTTCATCCTTGGTTAACGTGTGAATCCACCCAATTCGCGGGTCATCCTCTGAGGGACTCTTAGACATCATCGTACGATCAGTCGTAGTAAGTAAATTTAAAGTCGTTGGTACCATTAACTGTGTCGTAGTTGTACCTACTTGAGGCTGAGTAGCCTCTGCGGTCGTAGCGGGAAAACTTAAAGTCGAAGGCACAGTTGGTTGTGAAATAGTTTGTGCTACTTGAGCTTGTAAAGACCCTGCAGTCGTAGTCGTGGTTGTCGTGGTCGATTCAGTCACTGCTTTGACCGTTTTAGGCGTAGTTTTCGCGCTAACACTCGATCCTACCATTTTCGCTTTTTCTTATATTCCAAAGAAAAAACCACTACGATATCGATTTTACCGTTCGGGCGCCAATACGTGAAGCACGTATGAATATTACGATAATAACGAAACTTTCAATGTCCCTGTTCGGAGGCGCCACTATGTGAGGTGTTTATGTCGGGTAGGGCACCTATCGTAAACTTACCTCCGATTTGCTCGGACAGCTCGAGTAGTCCAGGGTCTCGCTGACAGTCCTCGTCGCTCGCTTACCACTTCTAGATCTTCGTAGATGTTAATGTCGCGCCGATCTGCTAGTACACAAGTACACACTGTGTACCTCGGCACGTCGACGCACCGTACACGAGTTGCTATTAAGGAATACACTAACTATAGTTACTCCTATAACTTGGTGTCAGCACAGCGACGCGCTGACAAGGCCAAGTCTAAGCTAACTACTAGGGCTGATAGCTAACTAGGCGAAGATTAGAAAATAAAATAAATACCCAGCTCCTAGGCTTAACAAAAGGTCTCACTTCTCAAAATGAAACTAAAAAATAATCTTCTCGGAATTAAAAGAAAACGACGCTAACTTGCGATAAGTAAATAATGAAATAAAACAAAACGTATAAGGCACCTAGGCCAATTATTCTTCTTGGCTTTAAGGAAAATAAATAAAACTCTTGATTAAAATAAAACAAAACGCTTTGGGTTACTAAAAGTAGGCGTAGGCTACTGCGACACTACACTCGCAGCGTCGGTCGATAAACTACGTTATTCTATAATAAACTACGATAAACGTCCTAGAATAGCCTAATAAATAAAGTAATTTCCCTCGCCAAAGTGGATACGGGGATGAATACAACGTATACGCTAGCTATATACAGTGTACTTACGTAACACGACACTTCCAGATTTGCATCCGGGTTACTCTTGCCTTCGTCCGGATACCTTATTATTTGGTTCGCTCGCACGGCCTAAGGAGGGTTGGTTGGTGTGCGCGAACCTAACGCTCGACGCCGACTGTCTGCTCGAAGGATGTTTGGCGAACAAGCGCTCGCCATCGACTGTCCCAAGAACTGACCACTGTCCGCTGGTCTCGGCTTCTCCCCACCACGTCTACGGCAGCGCTTCAAGGTGACAGCGGCCGAGTCTCGAACTAGGAGACCTGCAGTGGACACGTTTGACATTGTTGCCGTCGTGACGAACCGCCGCGATTAATCGTTCGTGTATATAATAAAAAATTACCCCTAACAAAATGTGACCATTACAAGTGAGTGTGTTTTTTATAAAAGAAGAGGAAAATACAACTTTTTAGATTCATAACATTAACAAAAAAAAGTTTCAATTGTGGTAAATTTTACACTTTATTCCTGGACCTTGTGAAACATGACCATCTTTCAGTACTTCGGGATGACTCGTTCGGCAAGTTTGAAAGTTTCTTCCCAGATGTTTTTTCTTCTCATATTGTTAAAATATTCTTCCAAGTGCCTCATATTGTATAGTTCTTAATTTTTTTCAACAAGCACTATCAGTGTACTTTAATCCATCCTTGTAGAAAGCTGAAAATGCCGTACCAACTGTCCCGAACGCCCGAAATGCGCCCACACTGGATCAGTCAGGCGCATCCACCGTCACATAAATGTCCTACAGTTTGTAGCTCTAGACTTTCTATTTAACATACCAAGATGGGGAACGCCGTTGACGGCCGTGATGACACAGTGGGCGCATGCTCATTTAATTCAATGTTTTGAATTTTTTGAAAATCCCGTACTGACCGTCTATGTGCCTAGTCTATGAGAACTTTTACCTTTTTACAAAAAAACTTTATTATTAAACTTGTTTGTAACAACATATTGTTTTTACTCAAAAGTAATGTATGAATGTATGTGGCAGTGCAAGCAGTTCAAACTATAACAAATTGAATCTAAAGTTAATTTTAAAAAATTAATTGAAAAGCTTAAACCACACATTGTGAGTACAAAAATCGTAACCACAGTACCATACTGATAAAGAAACACAGCAATGACATCTTTACGCAATTGATCACGACTAGACAAGTTTGGATTTGTTAGTTTATGAAGTAGTAAAAGGGTGTGAAACCCTCTTATGTTTGCTCAAACAGGTTCAAACATAAGAGGCTATACAGTAGGCCTATATTTGAATGTTCAATCAGATATCTTGTTTCTACCATTTAATTGCTTACACCTAATTCACAAAAATAACTTTTCTTGAAAGAATCATTATTTAAATTTTGACCTTTGATTTTGTTTTTAGTATCCATACTTTTTTTCTTACAGTGCATCCTTACACACTCAAGGTCAAGAGTGGTTCTACAAACAATGAAAGAAGCAGCTGACTCACACCGAAGGTTCAAAGTATATGTGACAAAATCATCCCCTGATAGCAGTGGGTAAGTTTCACATTTATAATCTTCTTCCAAACAACACTTCAGGCCTATTCTTTAACAAAATACATAAAAAAGTGTAAAGTAATATTTTTAATTATTAGTTATTATTCTATGCATGCCCACTAGTATTACCCTGCCTAAACCGTCAGTGTCCACAGTCTATGCTGATCTTACCGTTAAACTCTTTGCAATCAAAAGGTGTTCTCTAACAGCTTAATATCATTATCTTTGGTACAAATTGTAATGTATTTCAACAAATCACCTTGAATTCTGTCACATAGACCTTTTGGGCTGATTTCTAATTTGTCAACAAAAGACATTTTAAGACATCTTTGTTTATAATGTAAATGTTGATGTTTCTTGGGCTAGTTTGGACTTTTTCCTTTCAGCTAAGCCTTCTATCCTCACAAAAGTCTTATTAGAGGTATGTTTAACTGTTCCTAGTCATGAAGACAGCTCAGTTGACTCTACTGCCTTCTAGACAAGTAACAGGCAGGGCCGGATTTCCCAATAGGCCCGGTAGGCCCGGGCCTATGGGCGCAAGGTCCCAGAGGGCGCACGGCCGAGAATACACTTTTTATACCTAGGCTATCTAAAAACAAAAATAAATAGTCATAGTTGATCAAAAAAGAACTCCAATGCATTGTGATTCTGAAGTTCATAAGAAGAAATAATTGTTAGGAAATTTAAACTATTTTTCAGAAGTACGCATCAATTTCGTTACAAAATTGGTAACGAACATTGGTTATACGGGAGTAGGCTGTAGGGATGTTGACGAGCGCCCAAGGGGTACGCATCGTATTGCCACTGCACTATGCTGGCTCGGGCTCGGTAATACCATAGATTAAACATGCTCGTTTAATCTATGGCACTACTGATCAGAGTGATTAGGGGCGCATGCGTGCTAGACATTGTTACCACCCTCACCCCACAAAACAAAAGTTATAACTAATCTTTTGATTAGTTTACAACAATCTGCAGGATCAAGTAAAAATAGATAATAAGTTGTGTTTAATATTAAAACAACGATGAATTTACCTTTAAAGTTAACAAAAAAATATAAATCTCAGTTTGCATTAGAATTAGAACAATTCAATACCCTCCAAAGCACCTTTAATGCTGCAATTTTCTCCTCAGACCTAACCTGCTACGGTTGGCCGGAATATTTTTGCTCTGTTTTGCTTTGGAAATATAACCTACTTAGATGCAGTACGACCATATATTAAATATAACTCAAGTCGACTTCTTATGATATTGTTAATTCAAAATTTGTATGTCTAGTTCATGTTGGTGACACTGGACGTTAGTTTTGACGTAATTTTGTTTATATTATTTTAGGGTTAGTTCTATTACGTGTGTTTCAATTTCTTGTAATATAAACAGGAGACGACCTATTGTTGATGATTAGATCGTTTTATTTTGGATAAACTAGGTTTAAACATAGATAAAACATACTCCTTAAATAACAAGAGTTGTTTTCAGCTAATCCAAAATGATGACAAATCTACTAAAGGAGTATGTTTAATCTATGGCATCACGTACTGAATGGAGTTCATGTTTTTGGGCCTGGAATTTGATTCAATGGCCATGTTTTTTTCCTTTTTTTCAGGAATGCTCGGTGGGTTGAATTGTTTTGTTTCAGTCCCACGGCCACAAACGTGAGCATTTATTAAAAGCATAAAAATTGATGAAAGTGTTTGAGACGGCATTTTGTTAAGGCTAAACAGGTCAATTCTTAAAAAAAACTTGCTATGATTCCAACGAGGAGTGGTATTCAAGCAATTAACTTAGGCCTATGGGCATGATATAGTTTTTAATAAAGGTTTGAAGGAAAGTAACTGTGACCAGACTAGGGGGCGGAAAATTATTTGGGCCTAGGGGCGCCAAAATGCTAAATTCGGCCCTGGTAACAGGTTGCATGTGTTCTAGAGACGAGATGGCTAAAGAGTTGATGTCGCTTGGAATTCCTTGCACCGTCATTCTGGACTCCGCAGTGGGCTACGTGATGGAACATGTGGACATGGTCATGGTCGGGGCCGAAGGTGTAATGGAGAGTGGTGGTATTGTCAATAAGGTAAACCTAAAATAAGAAATTCTTTTAGTGTTTTACAAGAATCTCTACAGTAGACCTACTTTGAATAAATTACTTTATAGGGAAGATGTTAATAAACCCCTGTTTACCTACCAAAATAATTTGCTAATCCTTGTTTTTAGGAAAGCCAGGTCAGCTTCATAATAGACACAAAGAATTATTTACTATTATTTTTTAGGACGGAACCAGCAACTCTCCCACCTTGTTGGAGGAGCCACTTAGCTACATAGACAAAACCATTTAGACCTAAGTGAACAAACTTAAAAAAAATAACTGATTGTAATGATGTAAGTTCAGCAGATTGTAATGATGATGTACTGATTGTAAGCTCTCCTCATTCTTTAGGAGTTGTTTTAGCTGTAAATAAATACACTGATGTATGTTTAAATTTCAGGTTGGCAGTTTTACAATGGCTTTGTGTGCAAAGGCAATGAATAAACCGTTTTATGTTCTAACTGAAAGTTTTAAATTCGCTCGCCAGTTTCCTTTGAACCAACGAGATCTTCCCGACCAATACAAGGTAATTCTTATTCAATAGGCCTATTATGAGTATTAAAAGTGGTTTTCTTAACCTCAAGACCTAAGACCTGATTTTTGTAACAAAATTGCTTCAAATTCAATATAATTTTATTTAAATAACTTTTCAAAATTCAAATATAGCTCTATAGCAAATGAAAATTGTTATAATATATGTGTGAACAGTGGCCTACAATTCTCTGTGATTAAGTCAGCATTGACATGTGGGCTCAAATACAGAGCCCGGGCTGTCATCATAGCCCAGTAAGCCCGGGTTTGCCAAATAAACCGGGCAAACCGGGCTCTGTTACAGAGCCCGGGCTGTCATCATAGCCCGGTAAGCCTGGGTTTGCCAAAAAGCCTGGGCAAACCGGGCTCAGGTACAGAGCCCGGTTTATTATCTTAGCCCGGTAAGCCCGGGTTTGCCAAATAGCCCGGGTTAATGTTTTTAGCCCGTTGGTGACGGGCTGTCATCATAGCCCAAGCAAACCGGGCTCAGGTACAGTGCCCGGGTTGTCATTTTAGCCCGGTAGGCCCGGGTTTGCCAAATCGCCCGGGCTAATGTCTGTGGCCCTATGAAAGAAAACCCATTTTTCCAGTCATAGGTTGTTTGATGTATCAAACAAGGAAATATTATAGCAATAGTAAATAGGGAGAAGTTATTCATTTTCTTTTTTATTTACATAATATGTATATACATATTTGTTTCTTTTTTTAAAGAATATAAAGTGTTTGATTTAGGGTAAGTTTAAAATTAAGTGCCAACCGAACAAACGGTTTACCTACCAACATGTTAGCCTTTATGAACTATTGTTTCATTAAATGTAATTTTTGGGGCATCATAGCCCGGATGTGCCAAATCGCCCAGGCCAATGTCTTTAACGTGCTGTATTATTATTTATCCCGGTAGTGACGGGCTGGCATCATAGCCCGAGCAAACAGGGCACAGGTTCAGTGCCCGGGCTGTCATCAATGTCCTAATTGCCAAACCTAATTGCATCGAAACATCCAAAACTCAAATTTAGTGATTGTAAGTGGTATTTTGCAATGAAGGAAAAGAAGTGATTTGGTGACGCATGAAACTGCAGAAATTTATGAGTACAACAATTTGAGTAATCCTTCTGATTGCTCCCTGCCGATATTTAAGCGGGCTCAGGTACAGTGCCCGGGCTGTCATCATAGCCCGGTAAGCCCGGGTTTGCCAAATAGCCCGGGCAAACCGGGCTCAAGTACAGAGCCCCTTTGTCATCATAGCCCGGTAAGCCTGGGTATGCCAAATAGCCCGGGCAAACCAAATCAAATCAAAATATCTTTATTCCTGAATTAATGTTACATGTGTCTGTGTACAGGAAAAATAGTTCCCAAGTAGACTATCTGTCTGTGTTTGGGAATGAGTTGCTAATACAGCTATACACAGGTCCACAAACATTCAGGAGTACTTACACACTTAATGATGATAGTCAATAAAAAAATATTAACAAGATCAAGAGAGAAAAAAAAAAACCTAATTGCATCAAAACATCCAAAACTCAAATTTAGTGAATGTAAGTGGTATTTAGCAATGAAGGAAAAAAAGTGATTTGGTGACGCATGAAACTGCAGAAATTTATGAGTACAACAATTTGAGTAATCCTTCTGATTGCTCCCTGCTGATATTTAAGCGGGCTCAGTTACAGTGCCCGGGCTGTCATCAAGCCCGGTAAGCCCCGGTTAGCCAAAAAGCCCAGGCAAACCAGGCTCAGGTACAGAGCCCGGTTTATTATCTTGGCCTGGTAAGCCCGGGTTTGCCAAATAGCCCGGGCAAACTGGGCTCAGGTACAGTGCCCGGGCTGTCATCATAGCCTGGTAAGCCCGGGTATGCCAATTAGCCCAGGCCAATGTCTTTAACGTGCTGTATTATTATTTATCCCGGTAGTGACGGGCTGGCATCATAGCCCGAGCAAACAGGGCACAGGTTCAGTGCCCGGGCTGTCATCAATGTCCATGAAGCCTGGGTTTGCCATACCTAGTAGTATGGCCTGCCCGATTGGTGGCGGGCTGTTATCATAGCCCGGGTGTGCCAAATTGAGCAGGCCAATGTCTATAGCCTGGTGGTGACAGGCTGTCATTAGGCCCAGGCAAACCGGGCTCAGGTACAGTGCCCGGGCTGTCATCATATCCCGGTAATCCCGGGTTTGCCAAATAAACCAGGCAAACCGGGCTCAGGTACAGTGCCCGGGCTTTCATCATAGCCTGGTAAGCCCGGGCGTGCCAAATCGCCCGGTCCAATGTCTATAGCCCGGTGATGACAGGCTGTCATCATAGCTCGGGCTAACCGGGCACAGGTTCAGTGCCCGGGCTGTCATTATAGCCCAGTAGGCCCAGGTTTGCCAAATAGCCCGGGCAATCCGGGCTCAGGTACAGAGCCCAGGCTGTCATCATAGCCCGGTAAGCCCTGGTATGCCAAATAGCCCGGGTATGCCAAATAGCCCGGGCAAACCGGGCTCAAATACAGAGCCCGGGCTGTCATCATAGCCTGGTAAGCCCGGGTATGCCAAATAGCCCAGGCAAACCGGGCTCAGGTACAGTGCCCGGGCTGTCATCATAGCCCGGTAAGCCCTGGTATGTCAAATACAGAGCCCGGGCTGTCATCATAGCCCGGTAAGCCTGGGTATGCCAAATAGCCCGGGTATGCCAAATAGCCCGGGCAAACCAAATCAAATCAAAATCTCTTTATTCCTGAATTAATGTTACATGTTTGTTAAAAATTGTCTGTGTACAGGAAAAATAATTCCCAAGTAGACTATCCGTCTGTGTTTGGGAATGAGTTGCTAATACAGCTATACACAGGTCCCTAAACATTCAGGAGTACTTAGACACTTAATGATGATAGTAAATAAAAAAATATTAACAAGATCAAGAGAGAAAAAAAAGAAACCTAATTGCATCGAAACATCCAAAACTCAAATTTAGTGATTGTAAGTGGTATTTTGCAATGAAGGAAAAGAAGTGATTTGGTGACGCATGAAACTGCAGAAATTTATGAGTACAACAATTTGAGTAATCCTTCTGATTGCTCCCTGCCGATATTTAAGCGGGCTCAGGTACAGTGCCCGGGCTGTCATCATAGCCCGGTAAGCCCGGGTTTGCCAAATAGCCCGGGCAAACCGGGCTCAAGTACAGAGCCCCTTTGTCATCATAGCCCGGTAAGCCTGGGTATGCCAAATAGCCCGGGCAAACCAAATCAAATCAAAATATCTTTATTCCTGAATTAATGTTACATGTGTCTGTGTACAGGAAAAATAGTTCCCAAGTAGACTATCCGTCTGTGTTTGGGAATGAGTTGCTAATACAGCTATACACAGGTCCACAAACATTCAGGAGTACTTACACACTTAATGATGATAGTCAATAAAAAAATATTAACAAGATCAAGAGAGAAAAAAAAAAACCTAATTGCATCAAAACATCCAAAACTCAAATTTAGTGAATGTAAGTGGTATTTAGCAATGAAGGAAAAAAGTGATTTGGTGACGCATGAAACTGCAGAAATTTATGAGTACAACAATTTGAGTAATCCTTCTGATTGCTCCCTGCTGATATTTAAGCGGGCTCAGTTACAGTGCCCGGGCTGTCATCAAGCCCGGTAAGCCCCGGTTAGCCAAAAAGCCCAGGCAAACCAGGCTCAGGTACAGAGCCCGGTTTATTATCTTGGCCTGGTAAGCCCGGGTTTGCCAAATAGCCCGGGCAAACTGGGCTCAGGTACAGTGCCCGGGCTGTCATCATAGCCTGGTAAGCCCGGGTATGCCAATTAGCCCAGGCCAATGTCTTTAACGTGCTGTATTATTATTTATCCCGGTAGTGACGGGCTGGCATCATAGCCCGAGCAAACAGGGCACAGGTTCAGTGCCCGGGCTGTCATCAATGTCCATGAAGCCTGGGTTTGCCATACCTAGTAGTATGGCCTGCCCGATTGGTGGCGGGCTGTTATCATAGCCCGGGTGTGCCAAATTGAGCAGGCCAATGTCTATAGCCTGGTGGTGACAGGCTGTCATTAGGCCCAGGCAAACCGGGCTCAGGTACAGTGCCCGGGCTGTCATCATATCCCGGTAATCCCGGGTTTGCCAAATAAACCAGGCAAACCGGGCTCAGGTACAGTGCCCGGGCTTTCATCATAGCCTGGTAAGCCCGGGCGTGCCAAATCGCCCGGTCCAATGTCTATAGCCCGGTGATGACAGGCTGTCATCATAGCTCGGGCTAACCGGGCACAGGTTCAGTGCCCGGGCTGTCATTATAGCCCAGTAGGCCCAGGTTTGCCAAATAGCCCGGGCAATCCGGGCTCAGGTACAGAGCCCAGGCTGTCATCATAGCCCGGTAAGCCCTGGTATGCCAAATAGCCCGGGTATGCCAAATAGCCCGGGCAAACCGGGCTCAAATACAGAGCCCGGGCTGTCATCATAGCCTGGTAAGCCCGGGTATGCCAAATAGCCCAGGCAAACCGGGCTCAGGTACAGTGCCCGGGCTGTCATCATAGCCCGGTAAGCCCTGGTATGTCAAATACAGAGCCCGGGCTGTCATCATAGCCCGGTAAGCCTGGGTATGCCAAATAGCCCGGGTATGCCAAATAGCCCGGGCAAACCAAATCAAATCAAAATCTCTTTATTCCTGAATTAATGTTACATGTTTGTTAAAAATTGTCTGTGTACAGGAAAAATAATTCCCAAGTAGACTATCCGTCTGTGTTTGGGAATGAGTTGCTAATACAGCTATACACAGGTCCCTAAACATTCAGGAGTACTTAGACACTTAATGATGATAGTAAATAAAAAAATATTAACAAGATCAAGAGAGAAAAAAAAGAAACCTAATTGCATCGAAACATCCAAAACTCAAATTTAGTGATTGTAAGTGGTATTTTGCAATGAAGGAAAAGAAGTGATTTGGTGACGCATGAAACTGCAGAAATTTATGAGTACAACAATTTGAGTAATCCTTCTGATTGCTCCCTGCCGATATTTAAGCGGG